CAGGACCAGCCATTGTGATGCACATAGGATTATTCACGTGGTAATGATCACGTTCGACTGTTCTTGCTCACACATAGGAATAAAAGAAACTTTGAATAAAGAACCAAACGATCGTGCTGGGGGAGAGGGGGGCATATCAGTGGATCTGGCCCAAGCCAAGCACTTAATGGGGAGATGCCCAGGTTCAAATATTTTGCAAGACAGAAGAACGCTTTTGAGAGTTGAAATCATAAATGATTATCACTCTTCAGAAAAAGGAGATGTCCTATATTTCCAAACCAAATAGTTTAAAAGTAGAGGCCAAAGTATTTTGTTTGTAAATATAGAAGCTTTTGATAAATGTAGCTGAAGAAAAGGACATTTTTTTCTTTTGCATTATCTATCTGAGTTAAAACAGTTCCCAAGATGTATAATTTCATACCTAGGTTAATATTTATGAGCAAATAATTTTTAAGAATAATTTCATTTTTAAGAAGGGAGATAAAGTCATGATTCTGCCCAAAAATGACCTGCTTCCATTACTGGGTGTTCACTTCATTCCTAGGACTATTATTCAGGTCAAAGAAACTTAATTTCCAGTCAAGAGGGTGAATTTTAATGTTGATTTGACCTCATACACAGACTAGAAATGTGTAACAGGATGAGCATATAATCTGTTCTTGCTACATTTTTTTCTCCCACACCCGCCCCCTCCATATCTTAAAGAGTGTTAAAATATTTTGCTGAGCGGGAGTAGATTAACAAGGTTCCTTTGCCAATGCCGGAAAGCTGGTATCACAGACCATCCCAGGGGAAAATGGCTCACATTAACCACTAAATGAATATTTGACAAGGGCTCATTCGGAGGTATTATTACTATAAATGTGTCCCTACTGGACTTTTCAAGGTCAAAGAGCAATGCTTCAATTAATTATTTAGACTGCTAGTAGATTTGGATGTAATAGCTGTACTTATTTCTGGAAGCGACACATTCTTGCAGTAGGAAAATCTCCGGAGACTGTCCATCAGTAGCATCTCAGATGGAAAAGTGTATGAAACCCTGGCACTCCAAAGCTGACTTATTTCATGAAACGTTTTCCTGGGCCAAGGGAAAGAGTTACACCCCACCCCCAATTTCAGGGACTATTTTTGGTTTAAAAGGAAAAACAACATAATAATTTATGTTAATTTCATCACCAAGTCTGGCAAGATGTTTTAGAGTTTGTGATGTGGGGGGAAACTGAATGGTATTTTATAAAACCTTGTCTAAATTGGGAAGTCACAGGATTTCTTAGTCCTTGTCAGGCTCTGAACTTAGGGTACACACTTTTGTTTGGCAATAAAAGCAAAAATTTGAAATGGAAGGCACCAAGCTGAGTGTTCTGAGTTCTAGTAATGGCACACACAGTGAATTGGGGTGCAAGGAGTCCCCTCTTCTCCTGTTGTCCCGAACACTGTGAGGGGGGGCGCATTTCTGCCATGTCACAGGTTCTTCCATGACCTTAGGTAAAATGGTAATCGAATGATTTTGAGAGTAAGATTCCTCCACAATAATATAAATTGAATGAATAAGAGATAAGCTGGGGGGGTAGTAATTACAGCCCAATTCATTCAGCTTTTCAGAACTTTTGTTGTAGGCGCTCCATTGACTGGGTTTGAGCTGCCAGTTTTCTCACATTGAAAGGAGATGATCAGCGCCTGGGGGGTTGGGGGGCAAGGACTTCTGCTAAACTGCTTGGTGATGGGGTCTTCATTTAGAACCATTACAAGAGTGAAATTAAATCGTGCCTTTGTGTGCAGGAGGTTTTACTTTTCAACTGCTCACAGTTTATAGCTAACTGTTCTGGGATTGGGGTCTGGCTGTGGCCTCACTGTGGCTTCATCACTACTAGTTGGCATCTCTTACATATTTATTTTATCTATCTATTTATTTTATGTTGTGATTGAAAGCACTTCCTCTCTGAAACCCCCTCCCCCATTTCTTGCTTTTGAAAAGTTTTGAAAAACAGGGCTTCATATTTTTTCTTCCTGGAATTTCTTTTGCCTGGACATTTTTTTAGCCAGCACTTGAGTTTATGATTCTCCCATACCCCCACCCTACTATTACTTTAAAATAATTTGCATCTCTGTGGGGGTTTTTTGCTTTGTTTTTGTTTGTTTTCTACTGCTTTTCCTTGCTCTTGGATCTAAGACTTCCTTTCAGGGTCCACCTGGGCCTGGGGTTGGGTTTTGACTTCATATTCTTCGATTCCTTTTTTGACCTGACTTAAAAGATGTCTGACTGCCTCTCCCTAGGGACCCTGTGGAGGAGATGGAACCCTTAAAGACGGGAGAAACTCTGTCCTTTACTGTGAGAGTCTATATAATATCCAAAGGCCTGTACACAGCCTCTGGAAATTTAAAATAAGCTCAACAGAGCTTTCCAAAGACAGAGACGGCTCGAACTGCAGGATTAGGTTGACATCTTTCATAGTTATTTCTATTAAAAACTTTACCGGAAATGTGCCCCGTGACACCATCGGAGAGCCTCTCCTCTCTTCTAGGGATGCTAGCCAGCTCTAGTATTGTTATTCTGCGCGAGGATGTTTTCCTTCTGTGGCCTTTAGAGAATAATGGACGACTCGACTTTCTTGTTTTGACTAAAGAGACTTCTCTTGGGGAGACTGGAGTACTCAGGTAAGCTGGGGTTTCTCGAGTCAGAGCTCTCTTTCCGTGTGCGGTTCCGGATGAATTGTATTTTATATTTTGGTAGAATGGGAATAGTTCTGACTTCCTGGGCGCCGGTCTGTTTCTCTCTGGGCCAGCGTTCGGGCTAGAGGACGTTTTTCTAGTTGGCAGGCAGCTCAGGTGACCGAAAGCGCAGAGGAGACATTCGTTTTATGACCCTAACTGCCAGTCTATACCGAGTCAAATGGGCACGGATATACAAAGATTGCGGCGCTCTGAGCCACCTTTGCCTGTGTAGGCCCAGGTTCGGCAGGGTTGAGCTGAGAACTCGCCAGCCTCCTGCAGACCGCCTGAAAGGAACTGCAGGGCCCAGGCCTAGAGACTCGGCTTGGGCTGGGGCAAACCGAGTCGGTGGCTGACCTGGACTGGCCAGTTTCTGACGTCACCGCGGCAGGCCCCCATCTCTGAGACTCCCCCCACCCCAAGAAAATGCTCAGGGGTTCCCAGTCTCTGCAGCCCTGCACCCAGTTGCTGAGCTGTGCAGCTGCTCCAGAGTCCCCTGCCTCCTGCCGGGAGCCTGAAGCCTCTGTATGTTGACCTCCTGGCCCCAGAGATGGCTATAGGCTCCAGACCTTCCAAATTAGAAATTGTGGGCCCAGGTCTCCTCTTTTTGACATCTCACCCTAGTCCTTCGCCAGTGGCCAAGTCCCACTGGGTCCTTCCCACCCAGGATGAGAGGCAGAGCACTAGCAGAAGGGTGGGAAGTTTTAGTCTTCTGGTCTGGTGGTGGTGGTGGGGGGGGGGGGGGGGAGGGACAAGGGGGGGGGTCTGGGATTGCTGAGCCAGCCCTGAATTTCCTCAGGTGGGAAGTAGAGATGGCTGTGCAAAACCATTCCCATGCCCCCTACATCTACTGGCTTGCCTTGAGGCAGAGATTTCCTCTCTGTCTCCCAGAGTAAGGTGAGAGACAAGGGACACATGTGCCAAGTTTGTCTCAAAGCTGCATACAAAGATGTGAACCCTTCTTGCTGGTCCTAGGCAGTCACATTATGCTTGGGGGGAGGGGTCACTCTTTTCCCCTCTTTTCCACCCTTTCTGGCTTAGGGTTAGCCTGGGAAGTCACTCTGAAACTCTTATTACTGGGTGTCTTCTTGAAAGGAAGAATACTGGCATTTGAGACATGAGTTGCCCCCACCCCCAGAGGGCAGTAAAATAGTGACTGTATTATAAGGAGCTGTGCAAGACCATTCTTATCGATGGTGGCCAGGCCAGAAGTAGGGCAATGCCCCTACCCCACCCCCCTTGTGATTTCAGGGTTCGCAGCAACTCGGGGAGGCCTAACTGGGAAAAGAAACACCAGAGAGTT